GCGTTCGATCAAGCTAAGGAATGGATACTTTTTGCCGTAACAAAATCCAGTACATAATTGCACCTACGAACTTCAAATGATGGCGCGCCTCACACTTCTGATTTGTATTATGAACTCATATCGTTCGATCAAATGGTTACAATTCATCTGCATGTCTTCCTTTGGCATTCCCCCCCCCCTCCCCCCACCGAAACGGGACTTCACTCCAGCTCTCGCATGAAATCGAGGCGAGTGGTCAGTCAGTCCTTGAAACCAAACAGGATCCAGAAAGAGGCCAAGAGAATAGTATGGGTTCTCCGAAAGTCGAACGCAAATAGTTTTATAGTGTACGTAATAACAGATTGACACACCTGAATATCCTTTGGTTCACTGGTCGCTTTTCCTCTCCCTGTTGTGGATGCTGTGAATGTGAGGCTTGCAGTACCAAGAGACAGTCCTCTGACTGTGAAATATGCAGTGTCTTGGTTGATTTTTCTCTTATCTTCAAGCTCAAAGTCTCGCCTACAAATAGTTAAAAAAATAATAATTCAATCGAAACAGGTCAACCGAATGATGAATATGCTACAGGAAAAATGAGGAATTCCTTAAGTTATACAAGTATTTTGTATGTGAAAGTAGACAAAGCTGTCTTTACCTGACGTTTAATATGTCTGGAGTAAAATGTGGCATCAACGTGAGAAATTCAAGATTTCTGAACAACAGTGGCACTCCAAACATATCCAGCAATTTGAGCCTCAGGGTCTCTGATGCGTACAGCTCAATCTGAAAACAACACATAAAATTAATTGGAATCAAATTTTAATTTACGAACCAATAATTCTTCACTGCTCCATCGTCTTAGCATGTAATATACCTTGTTAACAACAACAACATCCACACCGTACACATCAGAAACTTGAACATTGACAACAGCTGGCCCGGTGGAATCCAAACAGAGATCATGCACCATTACAGTGAAAAGACCCTCAGATCTTGGAATAACCTGATAAAATAGACAAAAATAAATAAATAAACAAATAACAGTTCTGACTCTAGAAAAATGTGGCACGAAAGATCAGAATTGGTAAGTTCAATTCCCGACCTTTACAATAAGTCAACTCACCACTATGTCAGTTTTCCCCTGGTAATTGACTTTTGCAATAGCACTGCTACTTCCTTTCACAGCAAAGTGACCCGAGCCTCCCTTAATCTGGAAAACAGCCTGGTAAAATAGAACAAGATAATGTCGCATTGAGTGTGTTGACAACACACAAAAAAATGTAAAGGATCATTTCAACTTCTTGATGCGCATGGGGCGAGCAAAAAGGCCGCAAAAATCCTGATTGAGACTAACTCTGAGGGCCGGTTATTTACACGAGGTCTAATCCAAACCGCGGTTGTACGCAAGAAGTGGGCCTCAGGGATTCTCTATAAAAAGGTTTATTTCATTTAGTAGAATGTCCTTCCACTATTTGCTTTCGGCCCTCTTGACACTGATCACAAAGATAGATGTTCAGATGAAACGTTCAGCTAAATTAAAGTTGATTTAGAACGCGGTTTTGTTAGACAACGGCTACACTTTGTTTAAATAAACCGGTCCTTAAGGTAGGCATGCAGTCGGAAAATTGAAACTTGTTGTCAAATAGAGAGAGAGAGATGTGAGCGTTTCTCGTGAGTGGGCAAAATTTTCTTCCACAGAATGCCATGTGCCATGATTAAATATATAAAAGTACAGGATTTGACAGACATTTCTTTTGATAAAGCCTTACTTGATTCTCGGGATGATTTAGTATTGAAGCCTCTGGTGGAACAAGTTGCCTTTCAGGAACAAGCAGCAATTTCAGATGCCCTTGCAAATTAAACTTAATTGGCTCCTGTAAATAGTGATAAAAAACTTCAATGACTGTACGACTAGGGTGATACCAGTATCAAAAAACAAATGACACCCCCGTACCGTAGGGAATTCTGATGAAATGATGAGGGGGGAGGGGGGTTACCCTACGGTGGAATAGCAGACAGTCCGGGGGGGAGTGGGGGGTTGCAATACTCCTGGTTGCTTAACGTTATTGAACCTGGGATAAGCTAATTATTTTCTACTCAGACAAAAGGCTAACACTCTTCAAAGTCACCACCACGACACCAACACAACAACAGTTTTGTTAATACGCCTATCGATCGAGAACAACCCTGTCTTTAGATAAGTATTGCTTTAGACATACAGGGGGTTCAATAAATTTTCTCTAAGCGGATGCTTATGATTATATAGCCGGTTGTGCTAGGAAAAAGGACCGTAAGGCCAAACCCAAATATGGGAGCCTCTTACAGGGTAAGCAAACTGAGGTGAGAAGCCTTAAGGGCGATAGTAGACCAAAGATAACTGGCTTTTATTATAAAGCTGGCAGCACCCCCGGGAAAAATGAAGCGAATTCCCTTTTCTCATTGGCCACCCGAGCGGGCAAGATGAGTCCATCTTGCCCGCTCGGGATTACCCGCTTTGATCCCGCACAAGAAAAAAAAGTGCGTGGCGCGGACTTAAAAAGTTCGTTACTTCTGGCTAATGTCGGCAAAGTCGCAAAAAGCGGCAGAAGGCGGTCACAACTAACAAAAAATTCAACGACCCTCTTGAGTTGGTTAATAGCGTACATTGGTCAATAATACATATTTATTGAACCACTGGACATGTACAAGTGTCAAAATCAAACCTTTAGTTCCCTTCCACACCATCTTAGAATGTTGCACTCGTAGCCTTGAATGGCAGCCTCAATAACAACTCCACCCATCTTGTTACTCAAACTGACAGTTTGATATGCTAACCAAACAAAAAAAAAAAGAGAAATGTGCGATGAGTTTCAAATTCTCAAAAGAAATTCATATTTACATAAAAAGATTCAGGGAGTACAAGCTGTTAAATTAAAGGCACTCACATATTGCTCTTCTGAGGTTTTCATCGTCCTTGTATTTGACAAACATCATCTTAACAGAACTTGTCACGTCAACAAATTCTGCCAAAGTACGATCACTCGTCGACCACGCTACAGTCAGTGACGTAAAGTTGTCAAATAACCGCCCAGAGGAGTCGCGAAGGTGGACAGCAAGGTTTAACTGTTGATTGTTACGAACATGGATCTGAAACCAGAGACAAAGCAGATTTTAGACTTGGTTCATCCACAGAAAAGTTTCAGGTTGTGATGACGACATAGGTGGTAAATTAACAGTCACTCTTGAGAAACAAACTTTTCCATTAAATGAGCCTTCTGAGAATGGCCCACAACTC